GGTGAAACCCCATTTCTACTAAAAATACAAAAATTAGCCAGGTATGGTGGCAGGCACCTGTAATCCCAGCTACTCAGGAGATTGAGGCAAGAGAATCACTTAACCCTGGGAGGCAGAGGTTGCAGTGAGCCAAGATGACACCAGTGCATTCAAGCCTGGGCGACAGGGAGATTGTGTCTCAAAAATAAATTTTTAAAAGCTGGGTTTCGTGGCTCACACCTGTAATCCCAGCACTTTCGGAGGCTGAGGCGGGTGGATCACTTGAGGTCAGGAGTCCAAGACCCGACTGGCCAACATGGTGAAACCCTGTTTCTACTGAAAATACTAAAATTAGCTGAGTGTAGTGCTTCACGCCTGTAATCCCAACTACTCGGGAGGTTGAGGCATGAGAATTACTTGAACCTGGGAGGTGGAGGTTGCAGTAAGCTGAGATCGTGCCACTGCACTCCAGCCTGGGTGACAGAGCAAGATTCCATCTCAAAAATAAATAATAAAAAGACCAGCCTGGGCAACATGGCAAAATCCCAACTCTACTAAAAATACAAAAATTTGCCGGGCAAGGTGGCACGTGCCTGTAGTCCCAGCTACTTGGGAGGATTGCTTGAGTCTGGAAGTTTGAGGTTGCAGCGATCTGTGATCACGCCACAGATGTGTAACTCCAGCCTGGGTGATAAAGAGTGAGACCTTGTCTTAAAAAAATAAGGCCAGGCTCAGTGGCTCACGCCTGTAATCCCAGCATTTTGGGAGGCTGAGGCGGGTGGATGACGAGGTCAGGAGATTGAGACCAACCTGGCCCACGTGATGAAACCCCGTCACTACTAAAAATGCAAAAAATTAGCTAGGTGTGGTGGCGGGCACCTGTAGTCCCAGCTACTCGGGAGGCTGAGGCAGGAGAATGGCGTGAACCCAGGAGGGGGAGCTTGCCATGAGCCAAGATTTCGCCATTACACTGCAGCCTGGGGGACAGAGTGAGACTCCGTCTCAAAATAAATAAAAATAAGGTAATACACGAAAAACTTGACTTATACACCTTAAATGGGTTTGCTGTATGGTTTGCAAATTATATCCCGATGAAGCTGTTTTCAAATAACATAGCAGTTGCTTGCTTTCTCTGTTGGATCGAATTGGTCTAAATCTTGCACTGTGAGGCGGAATTCCCTGCAGGTCACCTGGGTGTGATGAAAGGGGATCCGTATGCCAAGTCCCAAGTTCATGCCAATGTTTTGAAAAGAGACTCAAAACACAGGCCCTCAGGGGACAGTCTGAGCCCAGAGTGGGAGGGAGGTTAAACTTTGACCAGTTACTGTTTTGCCCTATTGGACTCTAGAGTCTCAGATACAAGGTAAATTTTTTTTTTAAAGTAATTGATATTAAGATGGAATTATGGCCAGGCGCAGTGGCTCAAGCCTGTAATCCCAGCACTTTGGGAGGCCGAGACCATCCTGGCTAACACGGTGAAACCATGTCTCTACTAAAAAATATAAAAAACTAGCCAGGCGCGGTGGTGGGCTCCTGTAGTCCCAGCTACTTGGGAGGCTGAGGCAGGAGAATGGCGTAAACCTGGAGGCGGAGCTTGCAGTGAGCTGAGATCTGGCCACTGCACTCCAGCCTGGGTGACAGAGCGAGACACTGTCTCA